GGGCGGCCCCGGCCCGGCCCCGGCTGCACTTACGGCTCCTCCCGCCGCCGCCGCCGAGAAATAACGCCGCGTCCGCTCCACAATGGAATTAGCGGCGCCCCCCCACCCCGTGCCCTACTGCGCATGCGCCGCGCGCGGCCTGCTGGGAGCCGCCCGACCGGGAGGGCAGCGCAGGGCTGACAGCGCGCAGGCGCAGTAGGGCCGCTTCGCTCGCTCCGCTCTGTACCCCCGTCTTCCATTGCGCCCGCCTGGCTGAGCCCCAGCGCTGCACGCGGGGCCAGCGCGGGAGAAGGCGGCCCTGGTGTTGTGGGGACTGCGGGCTACGTGTGTGCCCTCCGCACACGCTTTATGAGCTCCCACACAGCCCGAGGGGACAAATACTAGCACTGGACGCTGCGTGCGCGGGCACGTGTGCACACACGTGTTGGTGTGCGGACACGCGGGCTCCCGAGGAAGGGAGGAGGTGCTGTAGCGGTATCCTAGCGCTGTCCCTCGTGGTTGTCCTCCATCATCCACACAGCCATCCGCGCACTCTCCTCAGAGTTTTTCAACATCTTGGGCCTGTGCGGCACATGCTTGAAAAGCCCTGTTTTTGGTTGTAGCCCTGTTGGTTTAAGGACATACGCAGGCAAGATTCTTGGAGTACATGTGATATCTTATTTTTCCCCACCAACTGCTCAGTTGGTCTAATAAAAGTTACTGCATCCACTCAAAGAACCTTGCCTGGAAAGCCCAGAGGAGATGAAAGCCACCCTGCCTCAAGAAACCATAGATCACCCCTGTAACCAAGGCTCTGCATTAGCAGGCAATGGTAGCCAAGTCCTGCTAGCGAAACCCACTGGTAAATGTGCACTTGCTGGTCACTTTCTAGCCCACTAACTACAAGACCTACCAGCCATGCTAAAATAACCCAGCTGAAGGAACATGAAGGGGGAGAAACGGCCAACCTTGGTGGCCACCAGGGCAAAACTCCGACCGCACACACAATTTGGCGTGCTGAAGAGGATGTGAGACTTTAGTGGACATTATATATGCATACATACACATACGATGTGCCCATGTTTTGTTCACAGTCTGAAACAATTATTAACAAACTTAAATTTAGCTCCTTTTGCCTATACTGGGTTTTACATATTTTATACTTTTGCAGGGGGCCACATCCTGACGCCTTTATTAATAATCAGAGCATCTTAGTACTGTGCATTACATATGTGAACCACTCCTAAAATCAGGAAATGTGCACACTCTCCTGTGGGCATTTCTTTGAGGATCTTGATGGAGTGCACTCTGGAAATGTGCAGAATTCACCCTATCTTCCCAAAATGACTAGCACAGGTTATGGTACCTGAGATAAAACTTTGCTGGCCAATTAACTGAACACATGGAGAACTGAGAGCTAACATTTCTGACCACTGCTCTGTAGACCCTCTTCAGATCACTACAACTCAAATTCTTAATTATTGATTTGTTAGACAGGTATACAGTTGGACTACTAAAGAACTTTGTAGTAAAATTCTGTTTCATTTCTGTTGATTTGAAAAAAACATTTTCTACAGATTTTTATTACTGAACCCCAATTTCACATTAAGATGTACCCAGGTATATAAAAAAGCTTCTTATTCAACTTCTTAATTTTTTTCCAGAAAGATAACAGAACTGTACAAAACCAAGCTCTGATAATGATACTGTGTACTTCATCCTGCTAAAAATATTTTCCTTTTTTAGAACTCTTGATTTGTATATAATCCATTCAGATTGTCAAGTAATTTTCATAAGCCTGACTGCAATTGTTATAAAATCTTCTAATAGACTTTAAAAATCTTCCAAAATATACATAAGCAATGTAACAAATTAAAACTGGAATATATCAAGTTCTTACACTCAGAATTTTTTAAGTAATTTGAATTAAATTAATGCCTACATTTCATGTGAGTGTAAATGCAGTTCCTCTGAATCTTCAAGTGAAGTAAAACTTAGTTCATTTTTAACTGCATATAAAACATAGCTTGAATTGTGCAAGTTTAAGACTGTCAGGTGTAGCTAAGTGTTAAAGGAAAGACTAGGAATTCAAAAAACTTAAAGCAGCAGTAAAATATTAGTCAATGCCTTTGAGAAATGAGTCTGTCCCTTTATTCAGGGTGTCTGTGTTTAATGGTAAGCTGGGATGCATATAAGCTAGTCCAAGCATGAAGGGCAGTAGGACACTCATATGGAAAGCCAACTTTGTCCCTCAGTTATCAAGATAAGAAACCTGTCATTTCTCTCATTCACTCTGTCAGCCTTGAGATACTCCAAGCAGACTTACCTCTGTGTTGTACACCCCATATATCAGGAAGATGAAGAGACCCTGTAAAATAAAATGGAGGGAAAAAGCTGTTAACTCTAATCATTTCAGCAGTAGAAATACCTGAAATAAACTTTCCTGGGAACAGACAAAAGAAGACACACTTCATCAAGGTCAATTTATTTTTCTATTTTTCAACATTATAAGCTGTACCTTGAGCATTTATTTGGTAACGTGGGAGTGCATCACCAATAGTATTTGTGCTATTCAACTGTTTGTCAATGAAAGACTCAGCACCAGATAATCTAAAATGTTAATTCAAAAAAACAAGTATAGCTGAATGGTCCATTGAACATCATCATATACAAAACATACATGACATAAATAAGGAAAAGTGCAAATACACATATTCTTAAACATTTTTAAAACTGCAATTAATAAAAGCCTCAGTACAATTTATTACAAGTTTCCAAAGAAAAAACATATACCCCTATAGGTATACATGTAGCAAAAGCAACCCCTGCTGAAAAATGTTCAACTTTTCTTAAGAGATTAAAATAGCAAGGAATTGGTAATATAGGAGAAAACAATGAAGTAAAGGGAAAAGTAAAAATTAGTGAAACAGATAAATTATTCAGTAATTCCTTAATTAGCTATGACTTAACAGTAAAGACTAGTGAACTCTATACGGCAGAGGTAAATAAAATATTACAGAACAGCAAATACTTTCATGTTTAACAAACCCCATCTTTTTAATAACTTTCTTCAATTCTGACTACTGTAGGATAGTAAGAAGCAAAAAAAAGTAAGTAATTTTAGTAGATCTTGCTGCAAAGAAGCTGTCTTTCCACAAGACCTGTTTACAAGGTCATGACTTGATTAAGTATAATATAATACTAATTCTTCTAAAGTCCAGATAGACTTAATATATGTGCAAATTACCAAATCAGGATTGTAGCAAATCAGAAAAACTTTATAAAAGAAGTACTGTTTTTAGAAAAATACTTTAATAACTTGAGTTCAACCCCTCAGGTTTAAACAGACTAAAACGGAATCTCCTATTCATGCAAAATTGTTTTGAACTCATATATAGGACTACCCCACATTGTATAGAAGCATAAGATTTATACGTTGGTAAATAAGGTACCTGCAGCATCTAATGCATAAGATGATTTGTAAAAAGTCACTGACATTAGAATTTCTGTAGTTATCACATCATCAGAATTACCATATTAATAGACAGTAAGCCATAAGGGATGTTCTGTAGGCACAGTATTTCACCAGGTTATATAACATGGATGTAAAAATTTGGGGGGAATATAAACTGCTTATTATACGTTCCTTTGAGAAACACTACACTACAGAGCACCATGTGGATATTTATAAGCAAAATAAAAGCCGTCCTTTTAATGAGACGTGCAAACAGGCACAAAGGACAGACCAAAAAGTTCCTACCTTCTACACTCAATATTAAACAGACCACCCTTCTAGATTGTGTTGCTTCTTTGCATAGTAAAGACCACCACCTGAAAAATTGCAATTCAGGTAAATTAAGTGATTCATGCATGTAAGTGATTATACAATTGTGTCCTTATTTTACATTCAAGGAAGAGTATGGACAAACTGCTATACATGGAATATAGACGTACAAGATATGCTGGTTAAATTTTCAGTGAACCATTCATTTTTTTCTCACAAAATAATTTTAAATCTGTCTTGCTTTATACTAAGATTAGATTGGAAATTTCCTCTATAGGTACATTTCACAAAATAACATAAAATGAAAAAAAAACTAATAAAATAAGATTATAGTAAAATAGTGATGGCTATATGACTACAAAAATCAAATGCATTGCATTGAAAATGTATTTTAATCATTAATTGGCCCTTAATAATCAAGTTAATGTAATATGTAGTAATCCAAGTAGTATTCCCAGTATTACTTAACTTTCCTGGTTTTTGGAGAAGTACATTTTTGTATAAATGTAATGAACACAGACCTTTTTAAGGTCAGTGAAATGCATGCCAATTAGTGATGAAGGTTGTCAGTGATAATATTTAATGTTAATACTAAATACTACATTTAAGTAATCAGAATAATTAAAACATCAGAGCAGTGTTATTCTCATGTCATTGTGAGGTTTGACATATACAGTTGCACAGGAACAAGGGAAGGAGCATAATAAACAGCTCTGTGTCTTGCTGCTGTGTGTGTGAAAGTAGGGGATGAGCTCTTGGTAATTCCCCTCCCAGACAGGTGGACAGGAGGTGGATTGGGAGAGAAACCTTTCAATCCATATGTGATAGAACAGGCAACAGCAAGACTACTACCCTATCAGAACAGTGGAGAAGCTGAAGTCCTTTCTAGGACTACTCCTAGAGCAGTGAGCATAATCACATAGTGTACTTTACTCATATGTACCTATACATTAAAAACCTAGCTCAAAACGATAATTCAAAAAACAACTGTTTGTCCAGGTATTAATATAAAACCAACCCAATTCAAGTTTTTCCACATACATGCACACAGGTGTATG